GATATTTGTTACTGAATATTATATTCATTGTTTTATTATCTACATTTCTGCCGATAAATTTTAATAATCCAACATAAAAAGCAAGGACAGCTTCAAGATTTGAGTTTTGCTTCAAGTCTTCTTCAGTGAACATGGAGCCTGGATTGTTTACAAGATAAATTGCTGCAAAGTATTCTTGTAGTGTAGTGTGTATGAAACTGCTGGACTCATCTTTATCAAACCCAGTAAAGCTAATGATGGTGTCCATCACGCTCAATTTTGGAATGTCATGAAGCTCCTTTCCAAAAATATATTCCTGGTTCATTACACCATTAAAAGCTATTTTGGAAAGATAATGAAAATGCTCCCAAATGCCACTTAATATAGGATTATCAAAGTCAATTTCACGTATTAAATGTGGAGGCATTTCACTAGTTTATATCAATTTCTTTAGCATCAATGAGGTGTCGCTTGAGTAATGCACGGACATAGTAATTATAAACTCCGGTCATTGTTGTCGGGTATTTTGTATTATTAGTAAGTATAAACTCATTAAATACTGTACACATAATGAAGCAGGTCATTGGATTGTACAGCATATTTTCAATCATAGTATTACCTCTGTAATAAGAATAAAATTCTTGAAGTATTTCTCTATCTTGAAAATATCTGAAAGCATATTGTATGGTTTCATTAGGACCAAAGCCTCTAAGAGCAATATGTTTTGAGTCATCTTCTAAAAAGGTAAGCAAAGGATCAGTGGCAGCATGTCTGCTTGTAACTATCACTGTTGACTTGGGAAGAATGTCTCCTTTTATAAGTTTGATAAATATTGAACTTACACTGGTTCTCAAATGATGTGGAAGCTCATCAAAACCATCTAATATCCAAAGAACACCTGCTCCTTTTGTTTCATTAATTGATAACATTACTGCAGTCTCATCAATATCTTCACCATCAATGAGAAGGTCTTCAATGGTTTTAGCTTTTTGATTAGTTTCAAGACGCAGTGGAATTAAAATAACAATTCTATAATATGTTAAATATTCATCTGTTTGTCTAACCCATCGCAACGTTAGCTCTTTAGCTAATGTGCTCTTTCCTATGCCAGGCTCTCCTTCAATTAATACAAATCTTAGCCGCTTATCTGTCAGTGGTTTTAAAATATCATCAATTTTTATTTTTTCAAACCCGGTTTTTTCTTCAATTTTATCGTGCAAAAATTCTTTCTTATGCTTCTCCACTATGATTGATAT